CTTATATTGCGTTTGTTACTTCTTCTATGATACATCCTAAGTATAATTTTCTTCATTTGTATGGCTAGACCCGAATGGTACAAGAATGTTAATCGATCAGAAATCCAGCACCAAGCCGGTGTGACTTTGGCATAAAAAAAATAAATTCAAACGAAGAAGTTTAATAAGGAATAATTCGTAAATGATGAATAGGAAGGAGGTCTGAATCCAAGTTCTTGTTGATTATCATTTTTTAGTGTCTCCTGCTTCATGATTCCTCGCTGCTAGTTCCATAATACAATAAATCAAAAGACTGAATGAGACGGGAGAGAAAAATAAGACCAAAAAATGTGGCATTAATTAAAATCACCTTTAAGCAATCGTCTAATTAAAGAATGAAGTAAAACGAATGGGATTGGATGTTGCAAAGTAAATCCTTCATCTTACTCGTTAGCTAAGGTGTCGTTCATAAATGATGTTTATCTTTATAATAGTGATTCAGGAGGGTCTGAATCTTTGTGAACAGTGGCGTGGTCTAGTTATAGAATGTTATAGGATGAGGGGTTCGAACCTCATTGGATCCAACTTCTTCCTAGCTATGCAACTATGTGGAATAGATTAAATCAGTGATGGCCAACCCATGTGTCATGGTTTAAAAAAGGTTGCCAACATCTGGATTAAATAAATGCAGAGTCTTAAAATACTAAATGTCTTGATAGACATCATTTATGAACGTTTCCCAAGAAACCATAGAGGAATTTTATAAATGAAAGTAACGAAGCAAGTAAAAAAAAAGTTTCATTTTCATTCCTGATTCGTGGTAAATGCGGAACTTACAGTTTGATCTGACATAGAAGCATTTTAACATCAACATAAGCAGTTGCATAAATTACAAAATGTCTATTTTTGCATAAATCAATTTTAATTGAATTTACATGCACATAAATATAGACAGAATAGAGAGAAGTTGATGATATAAACATAAATATTTGATAGGTCATTGATTTGTAATGTTGAAAGGGATTTAAATCAATCTCATTCACAAAATTGTAATAGAATATTTAATTAAGTTAAGTAAATATGTGTGTAGAACTTCTCTCCATGTACATATGATGTCGACCATATTAAATGCACTTATATTAAGATAAACATGCATACATGACATGTCTCTGTTTGTTTTTATTTGTCGAAAATTTTGACAATCATTTGCACTCGATTATTTACATGCTCGAAAATGAAATGAAAGTGTGGATTGATGTTATAATGGAGCACTTGAAATTTGAACATTTAGTAATGTGATAGATTTTAAGGATTGAATTAAGCAATTGAGATGAAAGGTTAGTGTGAGAGGCTACGTCAATATTATTTTGAATATGAGAAGGTGGATTGAAGGACTTCATTATGGCTAGATAAATTTAATTTAATTTTGTGCACTTGAAAAATAATTTAGATATCTAATTTAAGTTTTAATAGAACAGTGGTTCTCAAACTGTGTTTTGAACATTTTTTTTTAAAAAAAACTGTTTTTTTGTTTTGCACAAAATTAATTCCAATATCCAAATTCTGACTCCGAAGCTGACCAAATGTCAATTTATCTATCAAATATTCAGCATCCAGAGATTCACTCAGCACGAGGCCGGGCCGCTCCAAGTACATACCTTCTCGTGATGTACCTTGATACCACTAAATGCACCGCTGGTGACCAAGCCCTGTGCCGGAATACCCTAGTAACCAAAATGTTCCATATAATCTTCCTTCGACGTCGATGGAAGATCAAATGTATCATTATTTATTATATGAAAAATATTTGTTTTACAAATATGTAACAAAAGTGTTCCATCGAAGTATTACCCGAGCCTGCTTAGGATCAAATCTTATGAAAAATCATCAAAAAAATATTTTTTTGCAAGAAAATAATATTTGTTCTAAATTTGGCATTTGCCATATACTTCACAATTGCTCGAAGAAATCACTATTACAAGTTCTCTCTAAATTTGTATGGGTCTTTCAATTAATTATTTATCTTCCTCAGTTTGTGTGCGAGTCTTGGTCGTTCATCAGTATGTGACTTAATTAAATTAAGTCCTTTTTGTTCTTTTTCGTAGTGTTAGTGTACTTTAATTAAGTACACACTAATACTTTTACAATAATTTACACAAATAAATGAAAAATACGAAATAACACGTGGAATTTACCACGTGTTTTATCCAAAAAAATTAATCCATTTGTTTTCCATTTGTATTCCTTTGATGTATTACATTGATGTCTTATTGCATTGTCCATTTATCTTCCAATTTCATAGGACATCATCTTCCGATGGATAATACATGGATAATACATATGTATCATCCATGGAAGATTCTCATGGAATACATTAATCTACCTTTTGGTTACTAGGGTAAGTACTTTAAAGGATAGATTAAAAGCTTATCCAAACAACCTCGCCTGTATGGTGGTAGCCTAACATTCAGGATAGGGATGGTGAAGTTTACAACCAACCCGAAATAAACATTAACAGCATAAGGTTAACAGGACTGGATCCTTCAATCTCAAAAAGCACACTGCGTAAAAATGTAACTTATAGTCTAGAGTCCAGGACTGCATGAAAACGGCACTAAGCTGGATTTCACCAAATTTGGTGAGGTACCGCGTTTATATCATCTTGGACACAAGATTGACAGCTTTTTTCAGCCGTGTGCCTTTCGGGCATGATATTTGGTAATGCTAAAGTAAACCTCACGCCATACTAGACCCTTGACTAGTTAAAACAGTGGCGAAGCGCATAAGAGAAGAGATGAGCCTGAGTTTTAGCCTGGACGCCACAAAAAAGACACTTTTAACATTTTTCCAACTTAGTATCCTACAAAATCTTAAAAACAGAGATTTGTGTACCACGACCTTAAAAAACATTGAGAATCACTGGTCTATTCCCAACATTTTCTAATTTATTTTGCCAACTCTCATCCCCTAACACAACATTTATTCACCCCAATTTATCATTCTACCTTAAACTCTCTCTTTATTTGATTTGACATCATCAGAGTTGATGCTGACAATAAAACTTGTCTAATTCGATTACAAAACTGTTCGCACATAACACTTTTTAGCGTTAGACGGCAAAGAGGAATAAACTTTATCGTCATGATTATCATCATTGTAGTTTTCACTCGCTTTTGATGTCTTTTAAAATTAAAGAAGTAATTTTGTGATGAAGGTGAGGTAAAAATATTCACACGTCGATGTGGTCGAAGCTATAAAACTTAAGAAAATCCACGACTTGCAATGCAAACATAATAATAAGCAGTTGTAAGTATCATTTGTAAAATGAAGAGTAATCAATAATTACATGATTTATAATGGCATGAACATAAATTGATGATTGTAGATCAGCAAGTTAATGTGTAAAGTTTTCAATTTAAAATGCTACTAATGAGATAATAAAGCTCGAGTAAAACTAAATTGCCAGTTATTAAATCTTGATCCATAAATGAAATAATTACAATTGTTTGCTATAAATCCATTAAATGAAGAATATTCATTGGAAAATTATACATATAGCATGCAAATTGTAATTATAGATTATTTGCAATTGTAATAAAACATCGATTTTAATTACGAAATAAATTTATTTTTAAATTATTCATTGCAAAGTGTTGAAAATAGCATTTGGACTGTAAGAATTTAAGATTAAATATTTTACTGCAACATGCATTCCCTCATAATTGCACGCATAACAAGCTACTGCCATAAAGAAAACGATGATGTAGACACTTACTTTAAACTTTGTCTTTTCTCTTTTAGCTTTACGTTCATTTAACTTGCTTCACTCTTTAATGCACTACGTTATATGAGAAAGTTGCACTGATTACGTTGACTTTGGAATTTCTTTCCTAGTGCTTATTTGCTCATCATGGTGATAGCGAGCATGGCTTAAATTTCTACACTACTGATTTATATACTATCTTGGTAGACTAAGTTATTTACTTTGTAGAGTGCAGGCGCGTAGCAAGGGGGGAAATCAACCTTCTTCTTGAGAAACTTCTTCATTTTGCTAGAGTTTTTATGAAAAACTCGAAAAAATCCCCAACCCCCTTAGGGGCCGTTTACTTATGACGTCCAGAGGGAGGGGGGGGGGTCAGCAAGAATAGAACAATAGAAATTCCTGGAAATCCACCGTTAATTTCGGACGTCATAAGTGAACGACATCTTAAAGTTTTCCATACAAAAAAAATTCTGTCCCCCCTCTTTAAATTCTTGGCTACGCCCCTGGTAGTGTTAAATCCGAGCAGTGCAGCTTAAATTGACATTGAATATAGAATTCGAAAAGAGAAAAGCAGGGGATTGAGTCTGGACAACTATTCATAGCATATAACACAGTAGAATGATGTAAAATCTCCTCGAATGGCACAAGTTGGTAGATTGTACAGAATTGTGGCATCAAGCTGGTGTAACATGGTGCTGAATTTAAATCGAAACCATCACCATGCCAGAGTCATGCCGGCTAGATCCAGATTTCGATTCGATTAACCGATTTGTGGATCGGATCCCACTATAAACTTTATTTTTAATGGGTATGGTACAATAGTTTCTTTACAATTGAATGGCAGTGCCTCCAGCTGAAAGGCTGGGGCCTTCACACATTATTATTATTTTTAACCGACTTGTGCTATTCGGGATAGAAGCAGAAGCACTTCAAAGGAGACATAACGTAAAAATACATTTCAAAGGCATACCTACTTAGATACCCTAAGTGTAAAGTCGAGGCAAATATTGCAAATCCTAAGATAAATCAAGCAATAATGACCCCAGGAAGGAACCACGACTTCTTCTTTGCAAAAAAAGTAGTAAACTACACAATTGTTCATGTAAATTACATTTCAGCACGTTTCGCTCAAACGTCTACAAAGTAATTACATCATGTTAGTATTTTATAGTTTATTGCACAAACACAACACAAAGAATCAGCTGCTGACTAGTTCCAAAGTTGTAGAAAGAAAATAATAAAAATATTTTTTTTTATTTTCGTTCAAACGTCTGAATGGAAAGCAGTTTGTTGAGTGCAAAAAATATTTTTTAATAATCAGCACAAAATGGATATAACAAAAATAATGGAAAATGAGTACAAAGCAGCTGACACAGCATCAGAAACAAATCCTCAATACAAATTTAAATTGTTGCAAATTACATTTAAAGTGATTGTGCTGATAATACTTGACACAATCAAGTTCTTCACGAGATTCTTCCAAACGCATCAACAACCTGATAAAATTGCAAACCAATTGGCATTAGTGACAGGCGGTGGTAATGGTTTGGGTAAAGCACTTTGCTATCGCCTTGCACGAGAGAAATGTGATCTTGCAATTGTTGATATTGATTATAATGCAGCACAACGTACGGCAAATGAAATTAGTGTGGAATTTAATGTGAAGTGTAAGGCGTATCAGTGCGATATTTCGAATAATTTGGCAATTTTGAAATTGAAGGATGACATAGAGAGTGAAATGCGGAGTGTTGACATTTTAGTGAATAATGCGGGACTTTTGTATGTGACAAATTTCATGACATCTAAAATTGATGAGATTCAGAAAACAATTCAAGTGAATTTAACGTCACACATTATGGTAAGGAAATTGCTGAGTTTGAACAGTTTAAAGCTATAAATTTAATTTATTTCTGGTTATTTAGATGACTCGAACGTTTCTTAATCGAATGATTGAAAGACAAAATGGAAGAATTTTGACAATTTGTTCATTAGCCAGTCTGTTCACAGCACCAACATTGACTGTCTATTGTGCAACAAAAACGGGATTAAAAGGATTTATGGATTGTCTTTCGGATGAGCTTTATCTCAACAATTATCACAAATTCATAAGATTAACATCAATTTATCCAGATTTTATAAATACGAGACAAGAAGTTTCAGACACTCTTGATCAGATGAAGCATTTCCTGCCTAGATTAACACCTGAGAAAGTTGCTGATGAAGCTGTTCGTGGAATGTTGAGGAAGAAACAAAATGTCGTTGTTAGTGAATTGAAATCTGTGTTCAGTTCTTTAAAGTAAGTATCAATTAGAGCACTGTTTCTCAAACTTTTTAAGTCGCGGAGCACTAAATCATCTTTGGCACCATTCTGGCAATCTTTATTGACATAACTAGAATTTTTCTTGGAAAAGTGAAGCTCCGTAGAGCAAAGCTTGAGAAACACTGAATTAAAGCTTGGCTGTTAGGGGGAAGATGGGGATGGAGGGAAAGGGGGGATGGGGGGAAAGGGGGGATGGGGGGAAAGGGGGGATGGGGGGAAAGGAGGGATGGGGGAAGGAGAGTTTGGTATTGATGAATGGCACACAGTAGCCAGCGAAAAAAACAGCTTCAAGCGACATCTGAGTAAGTAAGTAAGGCCAGTAAGGTCAGTAAAGGAGGGGGGGGGGGGGGGGATGAGGAGAGTTTGGTATTGATGAATTTCATAAAGTAGCTAGCTTCAAGCACCATGTAGTAAGGAAGTAAGGAAGGCCAGTAAGGTCAGTAAGAATGTGAGGGGGTCTTGGTGAATAGATAGTAAAGGCGGGGGGGGGGGGGATGTGAGGGGGGGGGTGCAATGAAAAATTATATTCAATTAAATTAAAATGGCATTCTTTTAACTTTCCAGATACCTTCCAAAGAACGTAAAAAAATACGTAGTAACAAAAGTGCTGAACTTTGACTCATTTTATAAGCAAGACTAATTCCAAATTTCCACCAAAAAATAAATTCAATCACTTTGAATATTCATAATATTATTAGCATTTACATGGAAATTTCAATTAGCTGCAATGAATGCACATAAAGTATTAAGAGAAAAACAAATCTTATCTTCAAACCACGTGTCTGGATCAAAGGTTATCGATTTCCACAAATGCAAACATCAACGTTCATTCATCATCAGCATTCATTTCAGTCATCGTGTGAATATAAGAAAGTAAAAAATAAATAAATAAATTGCTGAATAAAATTTTTATATATCTGTCTACATTTCTCAGTACTATGTATTACATTTTTGTTGTATTTTATTGCTAGCTGTCGACAGTGAGAGATGGAAATGAAAAATTTTAAATTCAATTTGTGTCGCTTTCTTGCTTTTAACTTTTTTTTCACCCTACCATTCTAGATCTAGCGAAAGATGATGAGATGGCAAAACACACAAATTTTACGAAATAAAAAAAAATGCAAAATAAATTTTTTTAAGGATGAATTGCAAATGACTTTGACGCAATTATACAATTTTATTCGCTCTGTCATTAGCAACAAGAAGAGAAAAGGAAGAGAAAAGTCAACAGAAATTAAATTGACTTTATCGAATTTGAATAAACGATCGTTTAATGAAGTTTTTTAATTTCAACACTACTTCAAAGACTAGACGAGGCAGAGCAGGGGTGTAGGCACGATTTTCAAGCGGGGTTACTGTCAATAATCAATAAACCTGAATAGCACATGTCGGTTAATCGAATAAAAATCTGATTCCAAGCCAGCATGACTCTGACATGGTGCTGGCTTCGTTTTAAATCCAGCACCATGCCAGAGACTTGATTATTTAAAGCTAATTTTATTGTTCTTGCTTTTAACTTATTAATTTAATCTCAAGGAATTGACTCTCTTGCCCGGGCACCTAAGGACCCCCCTGGCTACACCTCTGAGACAGAGGCTAGAACTAAACAACGATGATGACCAAAAAAAAAGATGAGAAATAAAGTTGTCGAGAATTATGTATAACATTGAACTTAGGCCATTATGAACATGTCTGATGACTATTTCCATTTCACTTTAGTGTATGACACTCACTATACTATCTGTAGGAGAGACAGTCATGCACAACAAGTATTCACCTTCTTACCTATCCTTCTCATTTTTCCACCCCAAGCATCCTCATATTCTACACTTTTTTTTATTCATTCACAAGGAGATAAAACATACATTTATGTATGTATAGCTGCAAACATACATGAACACTTTACAGTAAATCGATAGACACTCGACACCAGGTGCAGACGTTGCAATTAAAATTAAATTTTTCACAATTGTTAAATCCCATAAATCAGAAACATTGATATATTTGACATCGATTAACCTTCCACATTAATCATCAGATGACTCTCTATAGTCCACTATATTGTCCCATTCTCCATATGTACCGTACTGTACATTATAGAATTGTAGCAACACCATAAATTCTTGTATGACTGAAAGCTTTTTTTTTCCCCTCCTGCAACATAGTATTTAATTTTCCAATCATGAAAAAAAATAAATGTTGATGGATTGATTTATGTTTTTGTCGTATTGAAAGTGATTAAGGATTTTTAAATGAAAAATAGTTTTGAAGGTGACTTTAGTTGCAGTGATTATGATGAGATTATTGTTGAATACTTGCGGATTGGTTGTATAAAATAATATGAAGGGGGTTTGTTTATAAGTGATGTGATTGGATCAGAGCTCTAAGTCTACTAGAGATTTTCATCGATTTTGTATGGCGAAGTCGATTCCGAGTCGTCTCGACTCCATACAAAATAACATCAACTTCGAGCTCTGGATTGGATTTTTGACAGTGGGTTTTAGGGTACAAACGAACGTCCTGTGGGGCTGGTTTTGACCGCGATAGTAAAAGCAAAGTTATAAAATTAAGTTCAGATTCTAACAATAAATGTTTCTTAATCGACTTTAAGCTCGAAAGCACACTGCACCACAAAGCCCGAAAATACAGTCACCATTATTGCGTAGGGCTGGTACGGAGCGTGTTTTCTGTACATGGAGCTCCCTACCGACCCCACGCAAGCATTGTGGCTGTTTTACATACTTTTTGGTGCCGTGTGGTTTCCAGGAAGTCGATTTGAGTTGAGTCAACTTTATTCCAGACGATTTGAAGTCGATATGATTTGTTTGAGTCATTTGATTAAGGTCCTTCTGTATTAGTTAAAAAAATACATTTCACATCGATTCAACACGACTTCTAGCTCTTATGCTGCAACTCCATCCATGCAATATTTTGTGATGAGGAGGGGAAGAATCGGAGTGTCTGTACGCTCCATAAAAAGGCCCCACAGATCATATACACTATAAACTATTCCAGTGTAGTTCAAACTTTTTCGAACCACGGCACACATTCGAAGTAAGCCATACCCATAATTGCAAGCATGCAGGCAGCTCGCGTCAATTCAAAAAAAAATAAGAACACACCAGCGTGCCGCGGTACACAGTTTGGACAACATTAAACTATTCCAACTATTTATTAGTAAATTAAAACTTTACTTGTTAATTTTCGCTGCATAATTAAATTAATTTTTTGAATTGCATTATGAGTCGTACTGTTTAGTTGCTAAATAGTTTCATTTTAGTTTTCCTCATTTCACGCATTTCTCTATCAAGTCTACATTTGCACAATCATTATCGCATGCTATTATGTCACATCAGTTCAAGTTCAAGTTTATTTTCTGAGCTCTTCAATTAAGATACGAAAAAATTGAGTAAAGAGAATGAGAGATAATTGATAAAGAAATGAAAACAAACTGATGACATGCTTTTGCACATTAAAATCTTGTTCGATGCAATCAACAAGAAATCGTAAACTGGTTTATCAATAAAATTGAATTAAATTATTTTTAATATGAATAAATGAAAATTAAGCAGCAAGCCACGATCCAATCTTTCTCATTAAAATCTACAAAGTCATGCGACATGAAGTGAAAAAAGGTAAATGCGGAAAGAAAGAAAAATGAACAAGTTTATTATCTTATAATTTTACTAAAACTGCAGATAATCGTTATTGGCTGTTTATTGCCGTTTCTGTCAACGACAATTGGCATTGCAAAGGCGAATAAATAGTTTTAGTTGTTGCTACAATGTTGAGTTCAACGAACGAAACTGTAAATATTGGTCAGTTTTGAAATGTCTTCATACAGCGCAGTTGACTGGCTGTGCTTTAAATTAACAGCATTGTCTAATATGTTTAAGCACCATATTGAAGAAGATGTATGGCAAGAGATCACGAAGAAGACTGAAGAACTCGTGAATTAGATGTGTTGAAAAGAACGCTAGTTTCTTAATATTCCAAACTGGAAGGAGGTTTCTAAGAAAAGAGCTGATCTACCTCTAAGCGAGGCGATGGGCTCAAAGCGCCTCAGTCAAGGAAGCAGAAGAAGAATGGCATTTTCAAATCAGTTTTATCTGTTTTAAATTGAGTTTCAGAACTATTTCTTAGTCCAGTGATGCACAACCCATGTGTCGCAAAAAACAATTCCAAAATTCCCACAAACCGTGTGCTGTGTGCGGTTTATGTCAAGAATTACCTTACTCAGTTTTTATCAAGGCTTACCAACCCAAGATGTGCTGTTGGACTAAGACACAGATTGTTCACCAGTGGTTGTCCACCACTGTCTAAGTCCAACAGAGCTTAGAATTCTTACCCTTTATTCATTGAGAAATTGAACTGTCTAAGCTTGCGAAAGTGAAGAATATTTGAAAATGATAAGATTCGAACCGAGCAATTATGCAGAATTTGAGCTTAACGCTTTACCAATTACTCTATAGAGGCACGTAACTGCTGTTTGTTTAAACTCATCTAAATTGAAATGTTTTCTAATTCAACCTTAATTTTATATTTTCACTTAATTATCAACATCCAAATGAGCTTATTCCTACATATGTTCTCAATAGTATTAATAATCACTGAGCTTGTTTTCTGTAGTTATGCTGCACAAAATAATGCTGTTGTAAATGAAAAATATCCTCCGACAGCACAAACAAAACAAAGCAAAAATCATAAAATATTTAAACATGTGTGGCATAAAAATTAATCGTCATAATTTTTAAATACTTATTTTCATGCTAACAAATGAATTGCACATACCGCACAATTTTTATGATAATTATTTGATATCAAAAATTAAAAAAAGTAAAATAAAACATGCCGTGCATGCAGAGAACAACAAAAAAATAAAGGGGAGAAACAAAATAATTGCGGTGTAGAGTGAGAACATTTTTTTGTGAATAAATGCATGCAATTTCATTAAATTTATTCATTTTGATGATTTAATATAATAAATTAGCGTAATTATTTTACAAATTATGAACATGTAGGCAGTTTTTTTCAGTGATGTTCATGCTACATTCACAAAATAACAACGGTTGAAGTTGAAACGAGATAAATTTCATTGTGTTTATCATGCTGTTGAAACAGAATTTAGAACATTTTACGAATTCCACGCAACACTGGTTCTTTTGTTGATTTCAATCAACTGAAACATTTCACATCAGTTTTTGTGAATTGCGAAAAAAATGTTTTTTTTTGCGTAAAGATAAATTATTGTTAGAATTTTAACTGACAAGTTTGGAATGATTTTTTTTTTACAATTTTAGTAGCTCAATTTATTGAGAAAAGTGTGTTGAAATGGGTTGGTGACAGAAGCGCAGTCAGTAAAATGGTAAAATAAAAAATTGTAATCATTAAAAAAGCTATTAAAATGCTGCGGGATGCCTCTTTGGTTGGTGGTCTTTGCTTATTGATTCGATTCAAAAACACAGGCGTGTAGCTAGAGGTGCAGGTAAATGACGGTCATTACGAGGACAACGTGTCAAGCATTTTGATGAAGACTATTTGAATGATGAGGATATAAGAAAGCATCATTATCAGGACTTTATTGGCTTCATTAAGGACATTGGAATTCTAGCATTTGGTTCTTGGGATAGTACAACAGATCATCGATCGCAGTGCTACTTTTGCTATAAGCAAACCTTACATTACATTCTATTCTAAGGTACAGGTCACACAAGTTTGTGTTAAATTTGGACTCACGGGTTCAAATCCCACAACCAACGCAGTGATTTTTCAGAAATTATAAATACTTCGGCTTCTTAGGTGCAGCAGTGAATAACGTAAAACTAAGAATTAGGCGTTGTGAGATGTAGGAACAGGTCAAGAATTTTGATAATGTAGACAGAATGAGAAAGATACGAGAGCCGTAAATTTACCATGAAGGGCTTTTACTTGAACGGACCTGGAGATATTGTGACCTACTGAAAATTGGAACGAGAGCCGACATGAACACTATTTCTAAGATCTTAAAACAGTTTTTAATTGGCTGCTTTGTTTTTGTTGAAATTTTTTTTGTCCTTTCCTCAAATTCCTGTCAACACCCATGCGAAACCAGCAAAAACTACTTCACTATGGAACATAAAATGCTGCTTTTATAAACCATATCACTAGAATTTTAGAGACATGTTTTTTGTACGTCCTAGAATTAATGTTATCAAAAGAGGAATGAGGATAGAACTAATAAATCAAACCTAGCTACTCAACAACAGCATAAAAGTTTAAATGATAATAAAAAGTTTCCAGCATCTTTCACGTCAAGTATGATGCATTATTAAAATTTCAAAGTGCCATCTCTTAACGAGTAAAATGAGATTCTTTTAAATTTTATTGGATTATCATTATTCCAATTCCAATTAATTCATTAATATCATATCATGCTTATTATCAAATTTCATATGAAAATTCACGTGAAAAAATTCAATAAAATTTCGCCTCATCAAGCATTTGAATGATTTTTGTTTTATTTCATCGATATCACAAAAAAATATATAAATTCATAAATTTTGTCGGGCGAGATGAAAAATGAAAATTGATGATGTTGGAACTTAATGAAGTAGAAAAACGATTAAATATGAAATTGATTCGCACAAAGCTCTTGCTCACTTTTATTTTTTCATTTTCCTCACACTTGCTGCATATGAATGAAACTGAAAATTAACGTGAATTATACGGAAAAAATAAATCACTCAATGAGATGAATATCGATGCATATATGTACAAAATATCGATACAAAACATATATCCAATAAATAATTAACGAAAACAAATGAATGAAATTTATACATTTATACTTGATTTGCCTCGTAATCTCATTCTACAAATTTTTTTTGTTGGATTCGTGTGTGCATTTAATGATTTCCCATCGTAATGTATGTAGATATATGTATGTTGGATGGATATTGAATGCCAACATAATAAAATGTAATAAAATTCATTAATAATGAATTGCATTCGATTTCCTCTACCGTGCTTAATGCGATTTCATTATCATATTGTGAGATGGATATAATAATGTGGAAAATTATTTTCGGCTAGATTTTCTTCATTTATTGTGTATTGAGAATTGGAAAATTGAATGATTAATCCTAGGATTATAAACAATGCTGCTGGTCAGCTTAGATCAGTGTTTCTCAAACTTTTTTGGTCCGTGGAACATTTTTTTAAATGAAAATTTTCGTGGCACACCTGAATGGTCTTTCGTGAAGGGGTGTAGCCAAGGGAGGGTCTCCTTAGGTGCCTAGGCACCCTCTCGTGAGATTGAAACTTTATTCACCACACTCCCCCTCCATAAAAAAGTCCTGGCTATGCCTTTGGTCTTGTAGCACACTATATGATTTTCATGACCATTTTGAAGTCTTAAAACATCAAAATATAGGCCCAATTTTAGCAATAATTTTTTTTGCAACACACCTGGAATTTTTTCACAGTTTGAGAACCACTGGCTTGTTTAATTGGCTATTCCTCCTGCCTTTTTCCAAATGATACTGCCGCAACTGTTTGATGATGCATAAATATTAATAGGATGAGTCCTGAATTCGGTTCAAGGTTGCGGAACTGAAAAATTACATTTTGATAATTCTTAATCATTTCGTCAGTAACACACCTTTGATTCGGTGAACTTCCTTTTAAATTCTGGAGTCCAAACATCACAGATCAGACAGTGTTTTAGATGATGTCATCTTAAACAGTCAAAGGAAGAGCAAGAAGAGAAGGTTGGGTGCATTTGGATTTATATTGTAGGGTTCTATTAAAGAAAAATCCCTAAACCATCCATAAATTATTCTTTCGTTTTAAAATTAACCACCCCCCCCCCCCCCCCTCTTCCCAAAAAAATATCTCCAAATAATTCAATATCAAATGAACCAAAATTAATTGCCTTTTTTTCCATACGTGAAAAATAAGCAGCTCAGTCTATTTCTATTGCCGTCATCGAAAGAGCACTTTAAAATTTCATCCAACACATTATGAGTCGTGTTGTTAACACTAATATCAATTGCATATAAGTCAGTGCAAAACATTACACTGGAATCTTTGCACTATTACGCTTCTTGCACCAAGGAATTTGAGCAAAGTATTTTTTTTTCTCTTTTAACCCAAAAGAAGCATATTCATGCACTGGAACTGTACATGAATTGATTGTGTAAAGTGTTGTATTTGCTTTGGATAGTGAAAGTGTATGTGAAAAACTAAAATAAGCTATAAAAGCTCTAATGCTTCAAGCATGGTTCATTAGTCTGTAACAAATAATTAAGTGGAGAAGTTTGAAGTTTTTTTTTCAGTCAAATTTGACGACAGTTTAGAATGCTGCTTATCCTATCACTAATAGCTTTACTTCTATTTTACATAAATTTCCGATGGAATCGAAGAAGGATGTACGAATTGGCTGAGAAGATTCCAGGAACAAATGGATTGCCAATCGTTGGACACATGTTCAGCTTTATTGGACTTGATTTAGAGAATAATTTGAATGATGGAATGAAACTAATCAAGAAGAATTTGCCAATATCAAAAATTTGGGCTGGATCTTCATTATTTGTCATTGTCAATTCAGCCGAACATTCACAAACACTCCTCAATTCATCTGACTGCTTAAAAATTCCATTCATGTTCTCTCGACCGTTTCTCGCTCGTTACGGTCTCGTCATTGCTAATGGAGATATTTGGCAGAAGCATCGGAAAATTTTAAGCTATTCATTTAAATTAAATGTGTTAAATTCATTGCAGCCACTTTTTAATGAGAAATCGAAAAAGTGCATTGATAAATTGCAATCAAAAGTCGATTGTGGCTATTTTAATATATCTAAATTTATTGCCGCACTCACAATTGAAACAACGATGAAGGGGAACTTTAACTATGATCAGGACTTTTATGGAAGCAAAATTATTGACGATATTGACAGGTGAGAAGTGCTAATTTGTGAATTAAAAGTTATTATTTAAAGGGGTCGTTCACTGGTGATGTCCAAAATTAACGGTCATTTTTCAAAAAAGAACAATGGATTTCTAGGAATTTCTATTGTTCTTTTCTTGCTGACCCCCCCCCCCCCCCCTGGACGTCTTAAGTGAACGGCCAATAATATGGATATTTTCAGTGCCAAACCATTAATGATGAAGCGATTAACTCAGCCATGGATGAATTGGGAGTTTATATTCCAAAGATCACAACTGTATAAAGACATGTGGGGAAAAATTACAGAATTACATGAGAAAATTGATGAAATTATTGAAGCTAATGAGATGAGGAACAATAATAATGAGGGAGAGCCTGAAACAACTTATGTCATTGACCAGCTTCTGAACAAGAAATATAACTTAAGTCATGAGGAAATCAGAGATGAAATTTACATTTTTATCTTGGCTGTGAGTCTCTTAAACTCTTCCTGAATACTGCTTACTAAAGTTGGTTTAAATATCTTGACTATTGAAACCCTTCAATCTCTTCCAGGGCTATGAAACATCATCAGTCAGTCTATCAGCTATCTTACTCCTTCTTGCCATCCACACAGACGTACAACAAAAGTTAATCAATGAAGTTGATGAATTCTTTGATGGAAATGACGTCAGTGTTGAAGATCTTCATAAATATAAATACACCGAGATGGTCATTAAAGAAGCTTTAAGAATTTTCCCAACAATTCCAATTGTTCCAAGAAAAGTCACAAAGGAATTCCAGCTGAATGAGCACAGAATACCAAAAGATGCAATTTTGATAGAATTCATTTACGCACTTCACAGAAATAAAGATTATTGGGGTGAGGATGCTCTTAAATTCATACCGGAAAGATTTGAGCCAGAAAATATGAAAGATATTCATACACACGCCTACCTTCCTTTTGCTGGTAAGTCACAACTTTAAAGAAATCTTTTGTGTTCAAAAAATAATTTTCTTTCTTCCACAGCTGGTAAACGAATGTGCATTGGTAAGTTATAACTTATTTGCGTGACTGACGAGTCAAAATTGCTAACAACTTTCAGCCACGCTTCATAAAACGCCATTAACGTCATAATTTATTTCTTGTTAGGTCACAAATATGCAATGAGCTTTGCAAAAACATTTTTGGTCCATTTCTTCAAAACTTATGAAATCAAATCGACACACAAATTTGAGGAATTGACTCCAAAGATGACACCGACCCTTGAAATCGCTCAAAAGTATATTGTGAGCTTAACCAGGAGAAAAAATAAAAGTGAATAATTTTTTTTTGGAAAGAATCAGTTTAAGGGGAAATCAATTGGATTTTCCAGAGCTCGAAGTCGACTCGTTTTGACTCGAAAAAAAAATGAAGTCGGCTCGAAAAAAGTTGAGGCGACTCGGTTTTGAGTCTTGTCGAGTCGACTCGAGCCCTATCGACTTCGAGCTCTGGGCCCCATCATGTTGATTTCCCCATTTAAAAAATTATGTGAATTTAAAAAAGTTTGGTTGGTTAAAATAGCTTTAAATAGTTAAGAATTAAGTGCGAGCCTTTCGATTTGTGCAGACCAAAAAACACTATAATTATAATTAGTTAAAATTTGAGAGTAGACAACATTTTGAGCTACCAGAATAATAAAGCATGATCATTATAATATTGCAATTTAATTGGATACATGTGCATAAAACTTTGTAGGCTGTGTGATAATAGTAAAGATTACTTACGGTTTAAATGGGTTTAGTGACCAGTTCAGTAATGTAACTTTTCATTGTCTATTTAGTCAAAACAATAAAGGTTTGAAAATACCAAAACATTACTAGGGGTCATTCACTTATGACGTCCGTCAATAAATATGAATAAACCCTGATCAGCCCTCCCTCTTACAAAATTTATATGGAAAACAATTTCTTTGTTTGAGCTGTCACAAAATCCTAGAACTCTCTCGCTCTTAAATCTTGTACGTTATAAGTAAACAACCCCTTAGAGACTGTTCATATAAATGAAAATACCTAAAAATCTTATTTTTTATGTCCTCTATTTATAAATGATCTATTAACCGTGTTGTGTGCCGTAGATTTTTTGGAAAAAAAATCATGGCTTAGCCCTCAGGTGTGCTGCGGCTCAAAAAGTTTGGACAAAACTGTTTTTAACTAAGCGACAGAGTTGCGATCTGTCACTTGCCTGTCAGGGAGCATTGTCTGTGACAAATCTGCCACTTGTGCTTGTTGACAGGTCACCTGTCTCGCAAACTCTACTTAGCCCCTCAGGATATTAATCAACAGATTTCTTAGAGTCGGCTTGACTTGAACCGAAATTGACTTAAAACTCTGGTAATCTTCGAATTATAGACAAAATAAAACCGGTCTTAAGTTCTAATAAAATAATTCTGATAGCTTTAGGTGCTGTTCATTTATTACGTAACGCTTTTAGAAGGGAAGGATCTGAGATTTTGTGACAAAGGGGGGAAGGAGGTCCTATAAGTCGTTTTTTTGCATGACGTATTAAGTGAATGGCCTCTTAATCAATAGCATTGCCTTCATTTTTTTTACAGTAAACATTAGTCAACTTTCATCATACTCATCAGTTTTTGACATCTAGTAACCTTGAAACCATCCAGAATTCTTATTTTCCTATAAACTTTCTTTATTTCTACAAGAACTCACTAAACCGAAAAAAAGGCAATCGAACAAACATCCCTTCCCCATCTAACATAAAAAATGGAGCATAAAATGTCAAAATATTTAAATTTCATATTTAGCATATTCCCATCATACAAGCATGCATGTCCATAAAAAAGAACAAAATAAAATTATTCAAAAAAAGATCCTCAAATTGAGCGTTAAAAGGTATGATAATATATTCGGCATGTAGACTCAAATGTGGATAAAATAAAAGACACAGGTGTCACTTGAGCGGCAATGTCAGTTGATTTAGCAAAAATAAAATATAAAACAAACTTTACATAATGCTTGATTTATTGAGATGGAAGAAAAGAGCAGATAAAAAATTTATTCAATTTGTTGTGTCTATGAAAAAGTTGTTATAAGAAGTAGAGCTGCGGAAGTTTCTTTAAACAGGTTTAAGAATGGAATTTAAAATGTCAGCAAGTGATACTAATGATGTAAAAATTTTATGTTTTAATTAATTGCCAGCGACTATCGATTGGTATTCAATTAAAATATTATAGAGTATTTAAGATCATTAAATTATGAAGACTGAAAGTGAAGCTGTGGAGTTGCATAAGTGATTATACCCGAATGACACAAGTCGGCTAATCGAGGAGAAGTCCGGCACCAAGCTGGTGTGACTCTGGTGTGGTGCTGGATTTAAAATCGAAGTCAGCATCAAGCCAAGGTCATGCTAGCTTGGAGCTGGATACTTCGAATCCGAGGTTAGGGGGGGGGGGAAGAAGGTCTCTGAAAATTCCAAGCACAGGCTTCATTTTATCCTAAAAAATCCAATTTTAAAGACTTGTTTAGGGGTCGTTCACTTATGACGTCCATCAAAAAACCTGATTTTTAGACCCCCTTTCCCCCGTTGTCAAAAAAATTCTAAAGAAAAAAATTTACATTGTTTAAACAGTCACAAAATCCTAGACCCCCCCTAAATGTCGGACGTCATAAGTGAACGGCACCTTAGACATCCTCACATTCTCTCTTCATTGACCACATTCACATGAAATAAATGAAAAAAATAAACCAACAAAATTGTCATAATTAAGCACCGGAAACTGAGATATGATCTAAAAGAAGTTATGACTATAATTAATGGATACAAATATGAGTACGATAATGCTCATGTGCTGGCCATAAATTATCCCATAAATGATCTACACTAAAGTTGCAATGCCTCAAGTCAGAAAAAAAAATAATTATGATAAAAGCATTAAAAATTGAGAAAGTTTCAACATCAATGTCTAAAAAAAAGATCCAAGCCAGAGAAAGCAACACCTGCACTGCATTCTGTGAATATTTTTTTGCCTCCCTCTTGTTGATATCAGTTGCTTATAAAGCATGCACATAAAAAGTCAAACTTTTTCTTTATTTCACAATATAAAATTTGCCTTTTTTTCCTGCCTCTCCGAACCGCAACATAAACAAGAAAGAACAACGAAAAATGGAAATAATGTATATAAAATTTGTTTCAGTGATTTTCTGAAATTCCCTTTTTTTAATGGCTGAATCTGCAAATAGTTTAATTGTTTTCTATTCTTTTGGCTACAGAAATTTTATTTTTTTCACTGCTCAACTTTTATTTTGGATGCAATATTTGGGGAATGTGCGTTGTGGTTTCATCATTTTGTCGGATCATGAAGTGCATTTTTGAAGTTTCTGATTACTTTTAATTTGTTGAATTAGAAATAAATTGTGGAGAATTAAAGGTTAAGCTTTGAAATTTATTTTTTAAAAAATTCAAGTTGCTGACTTGTTCCTTATTAAAATATCGTCGATATTGTTGGAAGAAACATTAGATTCATAGCCGACGCATACTCTAGAATGGAACGAGAGACCAATAAGATCGGACTTCTGTATATGAGGAAAAAACAAAATTCCTGATCGTTGTTGCATCAGAAAGGATAAGGAATTTTGTCAGCTCGCATTTAGTCATTGGTGGGCATAAGTACCAATGGGAAAATGTCAGTGGGCATATGTAAAGCGGGAAAAAGTCAGCGTGCAAATGTCCCAAACCCGTGATAAGAGATTCGAGATAGTCAACGATTTTGTCGACTTAGGATCCATTATAAGTAGGGTGACCATCTGCGTAGTTTTACAACGGACAGTCCTGTATTTCAAAACCCTGTCCTGTATAAATTTGAAAATTTTGTTCCAGGTCCTGTTTTTTTTTCACGAAAATTTCCGTTAATTTTCAAATTTTCCTTTGTGTCCTGTATTTTTTGGGAAATTTATCAAATGTCCTGTATTTTCATAAAAATTAGATGGTCACCCTAATTATAAGCAACAATTTTGACACCTCACTGGAGGTAAAGCAGAGGATTTTGGCCACTCAATGTGCGTTTTTTGTTGTTGGGAATCTCGAACATCAAGGAAAATATCAAGACATTCTAAAATAACCATATGTAAGATGCTCATACGCCCAGTATTACTTTATAGTTCAAAGTCATGAAATATGACTTAGCAGACGAGCATGCAATTGGTGTTTTCGAGACACGGATCCTTAGAGGCACCTTTGGACCTAGTAAAGAAGGAAATTTTTATAAATGCAGGAGCAATGCAGAGTTTTATCCGCTCTTTACAGAAGCTGATAGCATTAAACATATTAAAGTAAACAGGCTCCGATGGGCTGGTCATGTTATGAGGAGGCCTGTGGAAGCTCCATTAAATAAGGTCTTTGAGTCTGACTTTGTGGATGGAAAAAGAGCACTTAGAAGACCAAAGAACTCATGGGAAAAGGCTGTTGATAGAGATAGTATTGCATTTGGTACAGAAAATTGGCAAGCGGTAGACAGCGATAATGCCAGTTTTAAGCTAGGCGGCATCTAAGAAAGGTCATGAATCACAATTGATCTGAGCACACCACTGAGGAGGAGCCCAAGATGCTCATCGATTCAAAGACTCAAATTTTATTTTTTTAAAATTGAGTTTGGACTCACTTAGACTCTTAGCAACGCTACTGAATATTACCAAAAATCCATTAATATTGTGCATAACATAATTTATACTAATTCAAAACAATTCCACCTCAAAATAGAATTTAAAGTTATCCAATAAATTCTCCTTCACCCAATTGCGTCCCATATTTATTTAAATCAGCATTTCCTCTAAACTTTCAATTTATTTCTCCGTTCTTTAATTTTCCATTTCCACTTATTGCTTATAAGAAGTACAATTTTTTTATTATTATTTCCCATTTCCGTACAGTGAGAAATAAAGACAAAAAAAGGAAGAAAATAAATACAAAAAAAAATTTTAAAACAAGAGCGAGAAAGTTTCATCACACAGCAAAATTGAATTTTAATCGCTTTTTGGAAATTTTCTTCATTGTACTTTGTGTGCCTTATAGGCAGTTCATACTTTTCCGTTATTTCAATTTCTCCCTTAAAAAAGAAAAAAAAATTTCCATTCGTATATCTTTTTTGGAGCTCTATACACAATCACGAATATATACAACAAGAAAGAGAAAAGAAAGAAAAAAAAATAGCCAAAAGTTTTAATGACTCAACGCTGTCTCAGAAACGTGTCGCATGGCACTAAAATTAATATAAAGAATATCTCGCACGAACATAGAATAATGAACGAACTGAGAATAATTTTTCTTTCTTATTATTTTAGTTCTCTTCTTCTTTCTTTTTAACTTGGTATACAGACGATGTTATCGGTATCATGATAGATAGATAGATAGATAGATGAATGACTCAATGAAAGAATGTATTGTCGTAGTCTGGTTATTGCTTCACTCAGTTTAGCCTTCATTGAATGGAAGGATAAGAACGAATAAAGCCACAAACTTTCTAATCTCAG